AGGTCTGTAAACAGCCGGGATATGAGAGGCTTTAAGATTCGCTCTGAAATGAAAGCTGAGCAATAAATTGGCATCTTTTTCTACAAAGAAATTGAATTAAAGACCAGGGCCCTGAGCCAGCAAAAGCACGTAAGCACATGCTTAACTTTAAACACATGAGAATTCCACTGGAATCAATGGGACTACTCACAAGTTAACTTCAAGCATGTTTTTAAGTGCTCTGCTTGATTGGGGCTTAAGACAGTGAAGCTAAAATGTTGTTTTCCACATTTAATTTCTACCCAATGACATGCTCCGCTAAATATTACCATATCTATCTCTGTCTAATCTATCTATGAATTAGGGCCTGAATTCACATTAGGTTGTGTGTTTTTTTGGATACCGTCAGAGATTATAATTACTAATCTGTTCATATCATGCCACTGTAGGCAGTGAATATTTACTGCTTGATAAAGGTTGCTGTAGGCAGAGGAAGGTTGCCATAGGCAGATGAATGATACTTTATTGAATATGTTTGCCACCTTTGATTATCCTAGCAACCTGAGAGGGTTTAGTCATGCCCCTGAACTGATAACCAAAGTGCTTAAATGCACTAAGGGTTGAAGTTTAATCCATTATTAGGATGATATCGTGGCAACAGAAACTCCAACAAAAAGATAATTTTTTTGAACTGCAGAGCAAGGGGGCAGTAATACATCTTGTACTGTTCGCTCTCACGGGATATAGGATATGCAAAGCAGTGTTTTTTAGCCGTTTAAAATTGGATTTTCCACCATGAACAGATACCTGAACTGTTCTGTCAACAGCACTGAAATCTGGAGCTCACATCTAGTCCTTGCACTGGGTATCCCTCAACTGATCATTAATGTAATATCTGTGATCTTCAACTGTGCGGTCATCATTACTATATTGTCTACAAAGGATCTGCATAAACCCATCTTTATTCTTTTCTGCAATTTGGCTTTTTCTGATCTTCTCACCAGCTCTTCAGGCTTTTGGATTTCAATGCTGTTCATCACTAACCCAGAAAGCACAATCTTTGGATCCAAGGATCTCCTCATAGCTTATGCCTTTTATACTATGTCTATTCTGTCCACCATCTATAACTTAGTCAGCATTGGAATTGAGCGCTACTTGGCTGTGGCAGAAAGCCTCAGGATGAGATGCAGGGTTTCCCGAAACCAGTCGCTGGCTGCATCTCTAATTAACTGGGCACTTGCCTTCTTTTTGAGTTGCATACCTCTAGTGGGGTGGAACTGCTTGAATAACAAAGAAAACATGTCTGCTCTCTACAGCCCCTTTTGTGTTGACTACCTCATCTTAATCACCATCCCCAACTGTGTGGTGGCCTTTATCTTGCCTCTGTTCACGTACCTTAGCATCATTGCCATATTGAGGAAACAGAAGTTCACAATGGGAGCGTGTGGACAAGCCAATGGCATCTACAAATCAGCTGAAGTCCAGGTTGCCAGAACTAGTGTCTTTATCTGGCTTCTGGCACTGGTTTCCTATGCACCTTTTGTTGTAGGAGTCGTGTTAGATGCAGCCAACCGTCTGTGCCCCACTGACCTGTATCCAAATGTCTATGTGTTTCGAAACTGCACTGCTATGATGATAACCATGAACTCTTTGGGGAACCCCATCATCTACACACTCCAAGTTAAAACATTGGGAAGTAAACTCAAATTTTTGAAGTGCCCTGCCAGCAACCGGGTGCAAGTCATTGGGAATATCTGACCTACTCTGGAATTGCATATGACTAACATAAAACTGTCTGTCTGTCTATCTAATCATTTTCGGCATGTATTAAGTTCTTCAGCTGGACTGTGGTTCTCTCTTGAAAAGCCACACTCAGGTTCAAGCATGCCAAAGATTGGCCTACAACCATGGGTCAATTTCAGAACTAGGGCAAGTGGACAGCTCCCTGTTCCTACTTTGGCAGAGGCAGTGCTGGAACTGCTTTTAACTCTTCCATAGGCATCAACATCACTGATTTGAAATCTTCAGGTCCTTGCTTTATAATGCACTTGTGGAGAAATTCAGACTGAGTGCATGGGGGGAGCAAAAAAACCAAACAAGGAGAGCTTTTTTTAATGAGCGAAAACTGATTGTGAAAAGCAATCATCCAAATGGTCTGTTAGGTGCTTCTCTGGATGCACCCGTTTGTCTTGCTCTGATAAAATAGCAATGCGGCTGTTTTGAAAGGAGAGTTTTGGGAGTTAAATCAATTTTCTTTACATTATTTTAATTTTACCTGATTATTCAGTTAATCCTTGACCCTGAGCACAGGAATTGTGAGTAGCAGTTATTTATCTGCTGACAGTTCTGTGTCTGTCTGCCTGATTTGTCTGTCCCTTTATTGGAAACATAAGATTTATTTTGCATTAAGAGATAAAAATAAATCCATGGATACGATTTACTTTGCCTTTGGAAATGTGCTTCTGCTGAGCTTGCATTACTCGCAGCCTTTCTCACTTTTTGTATTGTTTCGTGTTTTTAAAGGAGACGTTGTGTTCATTGGCATGAAAATTTTCAGAAATATTAGAAAAAATTAGTTTCAGCTATTTATTTATAATCAGTCTTTTCTGTGTGCAAAAATGTATTTCTTTTTCTATTAACATAGCACTCACCGTAGTTTACTGTAACCCTTTTAATTGCAAAATATAGATGAATTGTCTCTCTTTGGTGAAACATTTGTGATTCTATACTTTCTACCTTTTTATTTCTTCATATTTCTACTTTTCACACTGCACCCACTTTAAAACTTGAACTATAATCTCAGTTAAAAACACACTTCAGTTTTACAATATCAAGACTGCAATGGAGTTAATCATGTACCAAGAAAATTGTTGGAGTTTTTAAATAAAAAGAGCAAACATTTTATAACTGGTATTAAAGTTTGTTCATCTGCATCTAATTAAAAAAGGGAGGGTCCCCTCCCCAAAATTGGATATTTGAATAGTTTATTTTTTCTTATTTCCTTACGTAGACTAGACTAATTTTTCAACTTTGCCCTTTATTGTTCAAAATAAGCTTTTGGGATACATTTTTTGGGGGGGAATTTTGGGATAGAACTTTTGAGTGATCTGAGGTAGTCCTAAAGCACTACATGAATGGTTGTATATACAGAAATTTGCACTTAGAAATCCTTATTACACAAGCTCACCTTTTTGATTGAAAAGACTACTTAAATGGAGATTGTCTGGTGTGTGAAAATACAGTAAAATGGATTCATAGTCACAAAACAAACACACACATCACATAAGCCAAACAAAATCATCATTTGAAAATCAGCCCTTGAATTGCTGATTTGGAGTTTTGAAAACAAAGCTATTTGTTTTTATGCATTTCAAGGTGGTTTTTGTTTGTGGTTTGTTTGCTTTTAATTATTACTCTGAAACCTCTAAAAACTTAGGTGAAATTTTCCTTAAACATCATCAGCCTTTTATTCAGAGGGTCTGAAACAGCATGTTTAGTTTAATATGATGGTAACATGCATCAGTTAAATTAACACATAGGTAAATTCAATATTTACATACTGGCAATGTAGTGTTTTATGGATATTGGTAACAAAAGCCGTCTTGACTGTGACGCTAAATATGGAAAATCTGGGAGGTGTTTTTATATTTTTTAAGCAAGCATTTAAAAGCCATCCATTATTTTTAAGGAAATGACAGTACCAGGTAAACAATAATGAATAATGCATTAAAATAAATGATGTCCTATAGGTCAAGTAGGACAAATTTTCTTCTACTTCTTTTAAATATTACTGTATTCTTAATTGTATTTCAGAAATTATCTGCAAACATCTAAACATCTGTTTCTCACTAATTATATTTCAACCTGAGTTGTAAATCAGGAGATTAAAAACAAAACCTACTAAAGGGCAGATTATAAAGATAAAACTGGGGGGTGATATTTATTTTGCTTAGCTGCATTAACAGCCATGTTGACCTTGGCAAGCTGACATGTAGCAACCAGAATATTTCATTTACCATTTATCTATGCTGGTGATTGTAAAAGATGTTGAAGTTCTTTTAAAAGCAATATAACAAACAGTTGGACCCTAGCCAGAGAAAGAAAAGTTAATCTCAAACCTATCAATTCACAATTAAAACTTTGTACTGCTACAGACCCTTTTGTTCAGGCACAGTGCAGTTCCTACTAAAGTCAATAGCAAAACTCACATTGATTTAACTTGAAGGAAATGTGGTCCAACGGCTGGAGCATTGGGCTGGGATCTAGAAGACTGGGGTTCTCTTTCCGGCATTGCCACTGATATGTGACTTTGAACAAGTCACTTCACTTATCAGTGCCTCTACTTCCCCTCTCATGCTTTGTTGATTTAGACTGTAAACACTTCACGTCAGGAACTGTCTCCTGCTCTGTGTGTGTTCAGTGCCTCCCACAGTGGGGCATTGATTTGGTTTTGGGTGTGTAAATATTACATCAGTAATAACAGTAGGAAGCAGGAGAAGGTACTGTAATTAGGAATCCAGATTTGTTTATTTTTTCAAATTTAAAAAGCCTTCTGTCTGAGATACAGTCAATAAAATATACACCCAGAAATATATTAGATCATTGACCTTAAATAAGATCTTACAACTCATCCATATAAACTCCTCCTCCTCCCCAGCCCTCCTCATTGCTGCCCCTGTAAAAGCCTGGTTAAACAGAAGAACCTTACGGCATAGCCCAGGTTCAGTGTATCCAGGCTTTGTTGGCTTTTATAGGGCAGAGTTAATATCTTATGATCCATCTAGAAAGCTAGAGAGAGCACAGGTGTGAAATGTGTGTTCTGCATGGAATACCACAAGAGGGCAGCTGCATTCCGCACTGCACTGTAAACTTATGAGTAATGGAAGCAGGATTTGCAAATGGTCCTCTAGCTTCACAGGAACTGTAGATCCAGTGCTGAAAATATGAAGTAAAATACTCTGTGTATTTATAATGTGCTCATCACTGTGGTACCTGAGTGTGTATTGCATTTTCCTCATCAGGCTCATCATTGATAAGCCTACAATGCTGCCTGTCACTTCTGTTGATTATTTATGCTGCAAAACAAATGCAAATCCTAAATCCAAGGGCACCGAAGCTCAAACTGCCCTTTACCAGGCTGCTGTTCGTGAGTGATCACGTGAGTATTGTGCTTGTGCTTTGTACCACCCAGACTGTAAGATGAATTCTGGTAACTAACATTCATTCAGTTTAACCATTAACTCTGCAAAGCAGTAAATGTTTGCTTTAGATTATCGTGTGGCCATTTAGGGGGTCCCTTCTCCCTCTACTTGTTTTCCGGTCAAAACCCATGGACACTAGCTTTCAAGTCCAGCACTTCCGATCACCTTGCATGGAACTGAGACTTGTTGATCAACCAGCAGGAACCTGCAGGATGCTATTATGACTTGGAGAATGTATAATGTGCTCTACAGCTTCCACCCCTTTGACTTGGCTTATAAGGGGATTCCTTCCAGAAATATGTCACTCCATGTACCAGATTATTACCATAGTTACAGTACAGAGCCAGCGGTTCTCTCTTGTGGCCTCTCCATTACTAGACTTCTTTTTCTTTTCAGAATCCCTATTTTTTGATAGAGAATTCATATTTTTTCCTACTCTGTCCCTCTTGTCTGGAAGAGTGCCTCTCCCTTTATCCATCTAAATACCAGACCATTTCAGAATCTCATCTCAAGATCCATCTCTTCTTGGCTAATGACGCTTCTACCCCTCTTCCAGGCCCATCCCTAGACCAACAAAAATAGAGAGTGGGGGAGAAGGAGAAATTATGAGTATTTTATAAGAGGTTCCCTCTATTTCTCACTACAAGCCTCTCCGGAGCAGGACTGTGTGGAAAACAGCACTGTGAGCATTCCCTCTTTAAAAGTGAAATCAAAGCAACATGTATAGTAGTTTATCCAAGAAGGCGACAAATGCTTTTGTTTGTGGATTGCTTTGAAAAAGAGAACAACTTTTAACCTGTCTCCTTGTTATAAACCACCATACAGCCTTAAATCCAATATACATATGAGAAGGAGACATATGTTAAAACTATAACTTCTTCTTTTAAGAGATGTGACAGTTTTTTAAAATTTCTTTGAACATATGTGCCGTCCTTGTATGTATGTTGGAGTTAAGGCTGCACTGGACTTTACAGAGCCAGGGGCATTAACAATACGTTGTAGAAGGAGGATAGTAATGGGTGAGAGTTAACACATTTTTATATGGGTATAGACAGAGAAATATGTCTATATTGGGGGGAGGGATAGCTCAATGGTTTGAGCATTGGCCTGCTAAACCCAGGGTTGTGAGTTCAATACTTGAGGGGGCCACTTAGGGATCTGGGGCAAAATCAGTATTTGGTCCTGACAGTGAAATGACCCAGAGTCCCTTCCAGTTCTGTGAGATAGGTATATCTCCATATATAAATAGAAGTGTCATTCTTAACTATGTGTCTGCTAGTTTTTCAGCACTTGAGGAAGTTGTTATTGAAGTAACAGTGTAACCTTAACTAACATTAAACAAACTAATGTTTTCTCTGTGTGAATACAATAGATATTTAATGTTCCATAATCTGAGGTTCATCAAATTCACATTGATTTGTTTGTCTGTCTGATCTTCAGGCTCCTAGTGAACGAAGCAGATCATGCTGATTTAGATTGGAAGATTTTCGCTGCTTGTAGGTGATGTTTCTAGGAAGAATAGAATAGAATGAGCCCATAGTCTCCCAGGTATAGAAAAAGTGCCAAATATCTATTGAAGTTGCATGAATTTACAGGGAGATTTTCAAAGGCACAAAAGGCAGTTTGAGCCTAACTCTCAATGAAAAGCCAATTAGAACTGGTCACCTGACTCCTGTTCATGCCTTTGAATATCTCCCCCTTAGTTGAATTTGTAGAGCATTGAAAGGTTTGTTCCAGCAGGTGACACTGTAGTCAACTAAAATTTCCAGTCTGGATGCATCAAACTAAATTCAACCATCTAAAAGGTATGGGGAGGGGAGAGGAAGAGACTGACTCAAAAAGGAGGAGAAAAAAATTCTTCTGGGGTAGCAGACCTGACCTTCTCTTTTATCATAAAATCTAGCTTTCATTGCTTAGGTGGGCCTATAGTGTAACTAAGCGTACGTCTACACAGCCTGATTGACACACTTAGGCTTCCCCTACAGTGCTAAAAACAGCTGTGTAGACATTGCAGCTCAGGCTAGATCTCGGGCTCTGAAGCCTGGGGTGTGTGATCCTGGCAAAAACTAGAGAGAGTGCTTTTGAGTCTGTAAAGATGCTGGCAGCTGTAAGCTAAGAAACTGCTCCGGTTGTTTTTGGTTCCTCCTGTGTTTGGGAGGAGTGGGACTTTGTACATTCCTTGTATATAAACAAGATTGCACCAAAGAAAATACCAGATTCCATCACTTTCTCCTTCCAGCTGGAATATTCCCCAGGGTCCTGAAATTGGGTTGAAAAGGGACACCAATGCTACAGCTAAAAGCCCACCCTTTCTGTGCAAATGGAAGCCACACAAAGGTCTCAAATGTAAGTAGAGTTGTTATAAATGTAGCTAATGATAATGGACACTCCAGCCAGGAGAAGAGAAAAAACACTTTTGTTAACTGGAAAGCAGCTCAATATTTAGAAGCAAAGTAAAATGAGTTAACGGGTTCTTGGATTCTTACACCATGTCCATCACCACTGAATCTGAACTCATTGCAGGATTGAAAACTAAAGTGGTGAGGTGTCATTCTTTGGTCCTGCGGAAGTGAAGTTATGGGCCCATCCTTGTGATAGTGCTGTCTCCTCAAGGCATGTGGGTCACCCTGGACTCTCTAGACGGTGTCATGGTTCTGGGGAGTGGCAGAGGCACGGATCTGGCAGGTGCAGGAGGGTTTTTAATATACTCTGGAACCAGACCATTCTGAGCTTCGAAAATAAAGAGCAAGAACTAGGTTTTTAAAGGTACTTAGGCACCCAACGATGCAGCTAGATGCCCTAGCGTTATTTTTAAAACGCCGGTCTTAAAACGGGCAGCAAATAGTTTTATGACTATTGGTGATAAAGGAGAGTTTGTATTTTAATTCCTGGGCAGTGCTCAGCCACTTGGCTGTTGAAGGCACTAGAACTATTTGAAGGGATGGTGGATAGAGGAGGGAGCCCGTCAAGGAAGTTGAGCGCAGGGGTGATATGCTTCAGTAGCCAGATGCTGTTCTCCCCACAGCTGTAGCACTGCAACACTCCACTCACGTGCTAAGTAAGGAGGGTGGGGGCTGGTTTTGATCTCAGTTAAGGGCCTGGACCGCAGGAACCAGGAACATAAGCGGGGCTACGGGAGGTCAGACCAAAGGACAGGGGCCAATCCCAGGAGACCCCGAGGGACTGAACAGAACCTCCCTGGGGGGCAGGAGCCTACATATCCCTAGGGCACTTAGACACAACCCAGCTCTCACACCAGGGGCAGCTTCAGAAACCTCTGAGTGACTATTAATGGGGGGGGGGGGCAGCAACCTAAGCTGGCACTGGGAGTCTCCTCACTACCCTCCCCTCCAAATCTCGTCTCCTGCTGTTCCTTGGGCGCTAGGCTGTCTCTCCATTGGCCAAGGCCCCCAGTCCAGCGCGGAGGGCCCAACCTCATCCCCCCCCCCCCCCCACTGGGGGGCGGCGCGCATCGGCGATGGATTAGTAGAGACCGGGTAGGAGGCGATAGGCGCGCGGCTGGGCGGGGCTTGGGGCGGAGCCTGACCCCGGGCGCGCACACGTGGGTCGCGGTGGCCGGAGCATGGAGGAGGGGAGCGGCTGCTGCGTGTGCGCGGAGCGCGGCGCCCCCCGATACCGCTGCCCGGGCTGCAGGGCCAGATAGTGAGTGTGGGGGGGGCAGGCGGGCTGCTGCCGGTCCCCCCTCCCGGCAGGGGCACCCCTTCCCCCGTACAATAATGGCCCGTGGCCCTTCAGCTGCGAAGGGTCCCTCCCCCCCTGGTGCCGGCTGCATGGCCGCTTGGCCTGGCGTACGGGGGGGGGGAATAATCGTCCTCCCCCCCCACCCATGGGTTATTGCTGGGAACAGGAGTCCCTGGAGCCCAGCTCTGGCTGTGTCTCCGCCCAATGACTGTTCTTCTTGTCTTCTCTCGGGGGTGGGCAAAGGAGGGAACTGAGGTGGGGCTCCCCCTTTGTCCTACAAGTAACTGAGACTCTGTTTCTGCATTCACACGTGCTGCTGGGCCCAGACCCACTGATGGGAGCGGAAATAACTTCTCTCGCTGCCCCCGGGAGAGCCCTCTGCTTATCCCCGAGTTGCTTTCTTTTCAAGGAGAGTCGCTGCGCTTAGTCTCTGGTAGAGCACCGGCAACATTTAACTGATGTTTTTTAAAAAAAAATGCACTTTTTTTTGTTGTAGTTGTTCTGTCCCCTGCTACAAGAAACATAAAGGTAAGACTATGACTTCGTCTCAGAGTTGTACATTATTCTAAACCAATTTTTAAGATACTGCTAACTTGTAGCTGTGACCTTCCTACTGTTGAGTATTAATGTAACTTTGAATTTTTCATAGAACAGTGTCTAGCAAAACCGGATCAGGTTGTAAAGACGCCGATTACAGACACATCCTCACTTTTCAGAAGAGTTAAACCAGGGCAAGGAGAAGGTATGTTTGCTTCCTTTATAAATATATGAAAAGCATAAATTCTGGATAGCTATTACCAAATGAGCTTTTGGGGGCTTCTTAGCAGAAATGGTCACACAAAAAGAACAAAAGATTTAATCTTTCATCTGCTAGGTACTGCTAGCATTTCATTGGAGAAAGAAAAGTAGCCCAAAACCTAGGGACTAGGAAAAATTAACACACCAGCTACATACCCAGAAAAAAAGAGGACAAATAGGTATTTGGTTACCATTTATTCAGTATTCAGGCAAAAAACATTTGTCTGCTAAAGGAAAAAAAAAGTACACCTGTCAACTTTTTTTTATATTAAGTTGATAAACATGCCTGATTTAATAAATATATAATCAAAAGTTTCACTCTGTCCAATAAAAGTGCCAGAAACACCACATCCTGGGTATGGTAAAGAGGCTTCCTCTGTAATATAGTTAGAGAGATCTAATGATTAGATTACTATATAATGTTTTTCTAAACAAAAGCTTATTGTTGTAATATTATAATTTTGTCTGTTTAAATGCAGTGATTTGTAAACCTGTTAAAACTGCCTAAGTACATTTAAAAAACCCCATAAATATTGACAGGTTTTTTAATACATAAACTTAAAGCACATTGTTTCAAATTACAGCAATTATAATAATCTTTTAACGGTTCCTACTTTTTGCCTGTTTTACCAAATGCCTGCTATTGTTTATGTAAGGGAGGGAAAGTTTTTCTGTAACTGTAAATGTAGCATGTTTGGTTGGAATAATACTGCTTCAAAATATAATTGTTAGAATATGCTTAAAACCCAGAATCCTCATACTAAATATCTATCATTTGTAAAGTACCTTGTGACAACCTAATGTGCTCTACAGTTAACGCATGTGAGTTTAATCTTAACACTTTTTTTGAAAATTAAATATGTAGGCAAGAATAAACTTGGATGTGTAGTTGCCCAGATTTTCAAATAAGTCCTCTAAATTTATGCCAAAGGCAGAAGGGCCAAGTCCTTTCTCTTTGGAAAGTGCCATGTGAGTGAATACCTATTCAGTGTTTCAGGTATTGCAACTGTGTTAGGTCTTTTCTAGAAGATCTCTACATTGAATGGTACTCAGAAGGTTACAGGGAAGTGGGATGAAGGGGTATTGTTCTAAGGAGTCTAGGTATTTCACATCTGAGGTTTTACCCTATTGCCAGGGGGTGATGCAAAGCATCTGAGTTCTAAATGAGGGGTAGTAGATAGAAACAGTTGTCTTGTTGCTGTGACTTTTTTGGACCTAACCTATTTTATCAGTCAAATCACATTTCTGTTTGCCTTAGGAAGCCATTGGTCTGTAGATGATATCCTGACAGAAGATGATGAGGTGGACAGAGTCCCGCTGCAGAAACTCAAACTCTTAGGTAACCTTTAAGATTAATCTGTGATGTCTGCTGTCAGCAGTTCTGCTTCAGTCCCAACACCTAAGAATTCCTCTTAAAAGTGAAGGTCAGTGCTCAGTATTTAGTTCTTCAGGGGCATCTTTATTAGGCCTTTGGGAGGATTGGTAAGGTGTATATTAAGTTGTTACTCTTTGTACAAAGAGTAACTTCCAGATAAACTAATGGGGAGTACCATAGCACAAGCACATACAAAAGAACAAAGACAAATAAGCAACACATTCTTTGACTCTAGACTTAGTGGGAGAGCCAAGCTTTGATCTGGCCTTATTCTCCAGTTGCAGGAAACCAGGTATTTACAAAAGTAGTGTCTGCTGAGGCTTGGGGTGTGTGTATGTATGTTTAAGTTTAAGTTCTCTTAGACAACAGATAAGGGGAAAGGTTGGGCTTGGTTGTTTTTTTTTATTTGTTAAATATGTGCAAGTTTCCCTCCTACATATTAAGTTTTTCTGCTTTCCTCAAGCAGATGCAGCATTGGGTTGATTTAAAAAACAAAACCACACTTTCAAACTCATGATTAATCCCCACCTGTTAATTTCAAATGTGGCTCTCTTCCTCCTTTAATGTTTTTTTATTTTTAATAGGGGAGTCTAAAGAACTGAGAAACTTACTACTCAACCCCCATCTGCAGCAACTGCTGCTAACTGTAGATCAAGCCAAAGAAAAAGATTCCCTCATGAAAACATATATGCAAGAGCCATTATTTGTGGAGTTTGCAGACTGCTGCTTGAGAGTTGTTGAACCTCCAGAGAAAGAGAATTGTCTTCTGGACTGAGAGACGCTTTAGGAACAGAACTAATCATGAATTTTTCTAAAACTGGAACAAACATTTTATTACCATGTGCTTTGCTGAAACAGCCTCAGGTGTGTTTTCCTTCAGTAAAACATATTTAACTCCTGGATGTCAGCACTCTCATTCTTGCCTCCAGCATTGTCATAGGGTAAGCTTTGTCACAGGTGGTTGAAGAGGAATATGTATGTATGCATGTACTAGGTGTAAGTGAAGGTTAGTGTTTTAGCGCTGTGACTTACTTTCTCTTAATACAGGTTCCATTGCCAACTATGGCTGTGCTAGGCATTGCTGCTGTCAAGTGTGTAAGGAAGGAAAAAGATTAGATTAAGTCCACTAGTGTTTAACTTTTATCCTTTGAGCATTTGACAAACCTTGCTGAGTCCAGAGAGCTGCACAAGATATTTAAGTTTATTAAAATGCTATGTACATAAGATTAAGAAAAACAAACAAACAAACATACATTTCCCTGCCTCAGGTCAAGTAAGAGAAAAATGGTTCTCTTTCCTCTATCACTCTAAGGGTTCTCATGGTAAGAACCACTTCTGCTCCTACACAATGTGTGAACCTAATGCCGGAGATGGATGTAACAGTGAGGGGTGCTGGAGCTTAGCAGCACCAAGAAGGTGGAACTTGTTATATGCTACATCTGAGTTTAGACCAATACAATTTAAAAGCAGCATCTTAACTTTCTTCAGCTGGTCAGAAACATTGAACCCAGGCTTACAATCCCACTTTTCCTGAGACAGGTGTGTCCAGCACTACCCTCCACCAATTCTTGCATTTTATTCATAAGCATTAGCAACCTGCTGAATTTTAGTGCTATCTGAGGTAAATGACTGTATGCTTGCCACCAGAGGGGAAAAAATAATGAGTAGTGTAAAATTTCTTGAAATACCTCACTGCTGCCTTTACTTTTCCCTGTATGGGGGAAGTGCTGAAAGGATATTTTACATTAGATCGCAGAGCTAGTTGTTCAATTATTTTCCAAATACTTTAGTTTTATTAAAGGTTGTTTGATCTTGTTTGTAGTCCTACTGTAGTGTTTTCTTGGTATTAACACTTCCTCCATCACCTATAGGTGAAAGTAAGAAATCTGTGCTAATGCCCAATATACCTGTAACCTTATACTTACATATGCAACTATGGGGGAAGGGAAATCAAGGCTCCAGGGTAGCAGCAGATTTTTTAATTGATCTGTCTCATGCAGGAATATAGTATAGATAGATTAAAACATTTAGAAGCAGCAGCTTGAAAGAAGTCCTTCTTTAAAGGAAAAAGTGCAATAAATATTTAAAGATGGCCAAAAGTCCACATTATGTAGTGAGCAGTTTTTTCCTATCTAGTAAGATTTGGTTGAATCCAGTGATCATACAGGCTTGGTTATGTGGACTGATGTTTGCATGAGGCAGTGGAGACTTCTTACAGTGAAACTTGACAGAGCCCTAGGAAGAAAAATTAATTAGTTTTTAGTTGTGCTGGGGGGAGGAGGGGAGGAAGAAATCAGCCACCCACTGAGCTCAATTTGCTACCCACAGTCACCAAACAGTACCTTGTTCAGTCAGTAGCCCACTGAAGTTAGACGACCTGCGGAGTGAGTAAATACAACTCACTGTAAGTAAGGGTGGTGAAATCTGTCTCTGACTTCAGGGAAATTACAGCAGAGAAGAATTTGTACAATCTGTCATTAAAACCAGCAAGGGTTACAATACTACATTTTTAAATAGATTTTGGTTTTGAACACCAATGTGCAACCAGTGGCTGGAATTTAGGGCCCCTGTGTGCTGAGCACATTTATCACCTTACACAAGAGTTCCTTCATGGTTAGTGTCCTATGATGGTGTCTGAGTTTATTTCATGCTGAGAAACAGGAACCCCCCCCCCCCAAAAAAAAAAAAAACGGTAAGGCCTTTAAGTAAAGAGCAGTTTTTGGAGAAGCAAGTGTGGGGTTGACTGTGGGGTAATTTTACCTAATGGACTCTTTCCAAAATTTGATCTCTTCTGGAAACAAAGAAGTGGGAGAGGAGAGTGTTTAGTGTTGCCCTCCTCTGAATTCTCAAAAGCCCTGGTGTTGCAGATTCTTTAGCATCTGCTATATGCACATACTTAGCATTTCTGCAAGCATTTTTCATCTCAGTCAAAATTCCTTTGACACTATATTAACCTTCAGTGTCCTGGTGGAGTGAACAAGTTATGTAAACAGCACAGATAATAAGTTAAATGACATGCCTAGGGTCATCGGAAGTCTGGCTGAGCCTTGGGCATCTGTGGGGTGAGGCTGTCTCTCACAAGCACAAGAGGCCCAAGTTTGGACAGTAAATCCCACTAGCTCTGCTATTATGCAATAACCAGAGCTCACTACATGTCAGGTCATACTGCTGAGTTTGAAGTGTTCGGTACATTACCTGTGGGAGTGCTCTAATGGAGGTGATACCACAACCAAACAGATTGCTCTCCACTTTGTAACCATTGTTCCGATGAAGTATTTTCAAGCAGGCCAGAAGGGATGAGTCTCTTCGAAATCCAACCACTGTAACAGGTGCAGTAGATAGAACTAGTCCAAGAGGCCAGAACTGGATTATTGCACTTAGAGGCCAAGTCTTTTCTAGTGGACTAGGTGACTGGTCTAAGAAAATGGTAGCACCAGGAACAGAGGAATGGAGTTTTTCTTCAGTGCAATCCAGCTCCTTTGCTGCTAGCGCATCCATCCTTGCCTTAGGGAAGGGAGACAATACAACATTCCTGAGAGACTGAAAGGTGCAGATGTAGCTAGGTCAGAAGTAGCCTCCTATGCCCCTAAATTATTAGACTCTTCCAAAAATAACATGGGTAATTCAACCAACAGGACAACATTCTGCAGAATTCAACAAGCCTAGGTGGCTGGTTAAAACACCTAACTCCCCCTTAAGTGAAGCTGAAGAGCAATTGAAGCGTTGATCCCACTGCCCTCAAATGGGACTAACTGCAGGACTGAACTCTGAATTCTTGCCTTTCCCCAATCCTTCATCTTGAGGAAACTAACTCCGGTCCCAGGAGAGGAGGAGACTACAGAGAGCCGTTTTCTCCTTTCCCATTAAGAGAAACAGAGGAGGCATATTTATAGTAACGGGAAGGAATAAAACACCAAGTCACAGCAATGTACTTTTAAAGTTTTCTTTATGACTACTTGGAGGAGAAGAATATTTTTAAACGCATAAAAAGAAGCGGGCAATCAGACATTGACTCAGTGCAGTTAGTATAGTACTTACTTTCCATTTCCTCCAAACATGCTTAATAACAGTAGCAGCCCTGCGCATTCTTTGGAAATGTTTCTTTGCTAACCAGGAGCGAACAGCTGAAGATTTAACCAAAAGAGTCAACAATAAAGGAACTGGCATATAGAGGATCTCAAAGCACTTACCTATAACAAATCCAGTGGTATACGTTTCCTAATTGTAAACTTTGTGCCAATGTTCAATTATAGTACCCAGACCCACTAAATATTTAACCCATCTGGAAAAATTACTTTTGACATCAAAAATCACACCAGTATCAGCTTTCACCTACCAGCTTGGATGATGGTAGCAGACCATCTCTGCTTGGATAACTTCCTCTGCTTAAATCTTCTCCAGCAACACTGAATGCAAAATGCTTTCTCAGAGAGTACTGCTGCTCTTCTAGCTTCAAGTTGTTCTAGCTGCGTCAAGGAAAAATCTTGCCGTTAGTAGACTGCATATTCAATCAGTTAGGAAAAAGCTGCGATTGGCCTCTCATTTTTCATTAATTTAGAACATGGATCCTTTGGTATTTTGCATGAACATGTTTTAGAAAACTATTAAACAGTGGTGGGTTAATGTATCCAGGGAGACATGAAAATACTTCGTTTCTAGAACTGTAGATCATATTTTTAAAAGCCTAAGAAAAGACAGGCTTATTAGATAGAGCCTGCTACTCCTAAAGTGAGGGGGAAGAGACCTAGGGGTGGGAAAGCGCCTAGAAGTTAGATACTTTCTATCAAGGCCAATACAAGAAGCTGTTTTAAAGTGGTCTGCTTCGTTAGCTTAGGCCCAATTCAGCAAAGCATGTAGTTAAGTCCAGCTGCATGTTAAGCACATTGTGAACAGGTGATTTCACACTTAGGCCTGGTCTACACAGGGGGTGGGGTGGGGTGAATCAATCTAAGTTACACAACTTCAGCTACATGAATAACATCGCTGAAGTTGACATAGTTAGATCTACTGACCATGGGGTCTTCACTGTGGTAAGTCAACGGCTGACGCTCCCCCATCGACTCCGCCTGCACCTCTCGCTCCGGTGGAGTACTGGAGTCGACAGGAGAGCGCTCGGTGATCGATTTAGTGCGTCTAGACTAGATGTGATAAATCAACCCCTGCTGGATTGATCGCTGCCCGTCAATCCAGCGGGTAATGTAGACAAGCCCATAGGAAAGAAATTAAATTTATCAGACTGAAACTGAATATAATCTTTAGTGCACCTGTGACAAGCAACAGTAAATGAGTGAGCATAGAAACAGGTACAGTGGGGGTGAATGCCTCATGTCCTTTACCCAATGGAGTTTTTAAAAAGACTGAATTCCTACTCCCATTGGATTGTTTTCACCACGTACTAAAGTGTAAAAGGTTTTGGGGTTTTTCTGGAAATAATGTGAACAGGGTGCAAAATCCTGCTTCCACTGAAGTCAGCAGTTTTGTCGTTGTCTATAATGGAACTGGGCTGTGACCTGTATTGCAGAAACACACCCTTGTTCTTCTAGGAGATGGATGTAACATGCTTACCATGGAATTAGTCATAAAGATTTTGGTTTTTCCGCAATACATGGAAGAGGAGTTTGATTTGGCCTCTGTTTGCTTAAGGGAAACAGTACTTTGTCCCACTGTCATTTTCTGAAGAAGATCATGGATGACAAAGTGTAACCCTTCATCATTATTTGCTGTTTGAGTCAAACCTGCAAAATACAAGATGTTGAAGGGAAGGAAAGTCAAGCATCTAATTAAAGACTGGAAAATATAGTCTCACTATTAGTAAAAGGGGCACAATTATTGCCATGGTTAAAACCACCTATGTAGAAACAATCAGACTTGATTTGAACAGATAACAGATCCTATACCATCT